CAACGTTAAAAGATACTTTGATGGTCAAAAACATTAACCTTCCGTCCTGACAGCCCTACGTGATACCGAAATCGTGAATTTACACTCACAATGGGTATCCCACCCCTTTCATATAGACTACTTGCAAAAATTTGGGACGTTTAATTTTCGGACAGTTTCTATCTCATTTCGGACAAAAATTTCAGACACTGTGATGAAACATAGTTTAAGTAAATTTACGCCTAGAAAATACGAATTACACTGAAACATCATCTGAGAAAATGATAGTTTTACCGCAGCCTCAAGGTTTTAGAGATATACCAAAGATAAAATAACACAAATTCTACCAAGCTGTTACATATCTCAAGTAGTATCTCGACTAGAGTTCGCTCCATAAATGAAACTAAGAGCTTTTGAGCTACTTAAAAATTTCATACTGTACGTTAAATGTTTCGGACGCTTAAAATTTCGGACGGTTTTCTTTTCAGACACTGTTTTTGTCCGAAAATAAAATCGTCCGAATTTTTTTGGGGGCCCCGCGCAGTCCGCATAAAAACTTGAATTTCTAATCATACATCAAGGAAAATGAGAAGCCAAGCAGTGCTAAAGGATCTCACCTTTGTAATCACAAACGCCACGGCCACAATGTGGATGACAAGAAAGCAACCGATACCAAAATAGAGCGAAATTCGATCAAAACTTTTTTGCGTGTCCGGGTCCGGAATTGAAGCGGCAACGGCATTTTCAATAGCCATGCAGCACAAGAACACTAGGCCAGACAAAACGTACTTGTCCTATGAGGCAAAAGAGAGAGTGAGTGTAACAATAAAAGGCTGACAAGAATAGCAGCGGTGTTCATTTGTGGCTTAAATGAATTTTACCTCTACAAGACATCATTCTATAAGACTACTGAGACTTCAGCTGATAATTTCCATGAAAAAAAAAATCAAAAATAAAATCATCGTTCCAAACCTCAAGCATCATTGAAAAAATTAGGGATTTTATTAAAAGTAATAAGTTTATCACTCTCGCATTACAAAAAAATAGTGAAACAAATAATTCAAAAGGAACGTGAACAATATAAAAGAAAAATTGAAATACTGAAACGTAAAAAATCTGGGCTTCATGAAACTTTGGCAAAAGAATATTAGACTTCTTACTTCGACCAGTCTTCATTCCTTTCATAAAACTAAAAGAATTGACTTCATAGACGTCCCGGGGGGGGGGACTACCACATGAAAAGGTCGGGGATGCTCGTCAAAAAGGTTGAATTAGACCCCTAAAAGAGACTAATCTTGGCGTGGCTGGAGCTTTTTTCACCCCCCTGAAAGATACCACTTAAAACAGAATAGGCTCGATAACTAGCCACTGTTCAGAAATGGAGCCCACACTAATAGACCAGACTCGATAGACAGGCAGAAATTGAGCCTAAAAACGGACGAAAAAGCGTTCTTTTATTAATGTCTCTTCGAGTGCACCGTAAATGATACTTTGGCAGGTAAAAATAGTGGCATTTCATCATGAACACACTAAGTGAGATCAGAATCCTTGATTTATACCCCTAAGCAAGCCAACGAGCATCCTCAACCTTTTCATATGGGAGTCCCCCTCCCCCCCTTCCGGGATAGAGATACTGGTCAAATTGTTCCAACAAGTCCCACTTTAAAATGAAATGCTACAAGAAAATGCGAGAGACACCAACTCACCAGTAATGTTAAGTATGAAATCGTTGGCAAACTCTGCGATACAACAAACTTGAAAGCAACTGCTGTTAACAGAAGAGTAAGGGTGACACTGAGTCGATCAGAAGGTGAGGAGATTTCCACAGAAAATGAACAAAAGGACAGGATATCAATAAGAAACTGAAACAAGAGCAAGAACAACATGATGGTTAATATAAGGAAACTGTCTTNAACCGATACCAAAATAGAGCGAAATTCGATCAAAACTTTTTTGCGTGTCTGGGTCCAGAATTGAAGCGGCAACTGCATTTTCAATGGCCATGCAGCACAAGAACACAAGACCAGACAAAACGTACTTGTCCTACGAGGAAAAACAGAAAATGAGTGTAACAATAAACGGCTGACAAGAATAATATCGGGGTTCATTTGTGGCTAACATGAATTTTACCTCTGCAAGATATCATTCTATAAGACTACTGAGACTTCAGCTGATAATTTCCATGAAAATAAAAATCAAAAATAAAATCATCGTTCCAAACATCATTCATTGAAAAACCAGGGGTTTTATTAAAAGTAATAAGTTTATCACCCTTGAAATACACAAAATAGTGAAACAAATGATTCAAAAGAAACGTGAACAATATAAAAGAAATATTGAAAAACTGAAATGTTAAAAATTTGGGCTTCATGAAAGTTTGGCAAAAGACTATAAGACTTCTTACTTCGACCACTCTTTATTCCTTTCATAAAACCGAAAGAATTGACTTCATAGACATCCCAGGGTGGGGGAACTCCCACATGAAGAGGGCGGGCATGCTCGTCAAGAAACTTGAATTTGAATTTAAAAAATATTCTTAAAAGGAAACTAATCTGGGCGTGGCTGGTGCTGTTTTGACTCCTGAAAGATAGTTAAAATGGAATAGGCTCGATAACTAGCCGCTGTTCAGGAATGGAGCCTGCACAAATAGACGGAATCGAGAGACAGGCACTGAGGAAGAAATCAAGCCTAAAAACGGAAATAAGGGCATTTTTTTTATTATTGTTTCTTAGAGTGCACCCTAAAAGAAACTTAAGCTGGTAAAAATAGTACTGGTTCGTCATGAACCCCCTAAGTGAGACCAGAATCCTTGATTTATGCCCCTAAGCGAAACAGTGAGCATCCCCGACCTTTTCATATGGGGGTTCCCCCAGGATGGACATACTGGTCAAGGTTCCAACAAGACCCACTTTAAAATGAAATGTTACAAGAGTGAGAGACACCAACTCACCAGTAAAGTCAGGTATGAAATTGTCGGCAAACTCTGTGAAACAACGAACTTGAAAGCAACTGCTGTTAACAGAAGTGTAAGGGTGACACTCAGTCGATCAGAAGGTGAGGAGATTTCCACAGAAAATGAACAAAATGACAGGATATCAATAAGAAACTGAAACAAGAGCGAGAACAACACGAGGGTTAACATAAGGAAACTGTCTTTGGACAGGGAAAAAGCACATTAGGAAACTTGTATGGGGGCTAAATAATTTCATTAATAGGTACTGCATGCATTTCACAGAAAGTTTTCTTACAATAATCATAGCAATATTCCAGAGGTAGTAACCATTCTTTCTCTTGACGTGACACTTAATGTGGTAGAGTGGATAGTCATTTGCACTGCTTCCCTCTGTTTTCACAGTACTTGTTGCTTCTGTGACCACATGCCTGCATAAGTACCACTCTTGATCAGCAGTGAAGGTCTCTGGTCGTATTGTGTCTGCCTTTCTCAGGTCTTTTTCAAATGACATTTAAATCAGCCGTTTTTAGCAGTCAAATTTCGCCAGCAACAGTTTACAGTATTGTTCAGATAGTTGTTTTGCTTTTGAAACATTTCTACGGCGCCTTTCTGTGAGGAAGTCTTGACAGTTTTGACAGTGACGTCTTGGGGTCTCGATATTTTTTCAAGGAAGTCTCAGAGAAAAACAGAGTCCTGAAAGTCTTTTCAGGAACTGGAACAATTTTTAAACTGGTTTAAGTACAGTATAGAGCAATTTTCAGTTGAGTGTCAAAAATAAGTAGACAATTACTTTGGTTTTGGTTTTGGTTTTACTACAGTTTGAGGTTAACTGAGAAGTCTAATTGGTGAGTAATTGGTTTTGGTTTTGGTTTTACGACACTCAATTGAAAACCGCTCTAATTACCAACATATGTATTAAAGAGAGTCGCTTGCGTTGTGCTTTCAAGTCTTGCTAGTAACTCTGCTGTTATTGGACTACCTGAAATTTTTGTGACATGTTAATTTTGCGAATTTCGCGATATAGAAAAAAATGCGAAATTAAAGTTACGCAAATAAGTAAGTGTCGGGAACATAACACATTATGTTACTGTTGACCTATAGTCCCGCCATTGTGTTTTTGTTACTTTTGATGTTATTGTACCTTTGATAAAGTCAGTTTTAATACTAAATTCAAAGACATGTCTAAGTAACATTGCCAAGGAAACAAATTTTGTGTTACTCAAAAACACAAAGTTAAAGTGATTCAATATACAAATTTTTGCAAAGTCGCGAATTTAAGTGTCGTGAAATATGCGCACCCCCAAATCGCAAAATAAACGTGTCGTGAAAATTTCATGTAATAAGGTAGCCAACCTCAGTGCTTGGCTAGTAAAAAAATGTTTTTGGCTAGTAACGTCCAAGTAGTCACTAGCCACTTAGCTAGTTAGTTGAAAAGTTAGTGTCAAGCCCTGTGCTTTGCCGTCACTTCTTCCCTCGTTAATAAAGATGTGGTTATTGTTTGTCGTGGTGTAAAATAGAAGAATCAGATGAACTTTTGTTTTTTGTCTCATTATGATGTCATGTTGAGGTGCTGATCAGAATACTACCAGTATTGCAATCGAAAAATCACAATCAATAAATCAGTATTACTCCATCGTAACACAAATGAAAAAACAGTTATCTCCATTTTCTTATCTTGTTTTTCTTTTAACTTTTTANGACATTTAAATCAGCCGTTTTTAGCAGTCAAATTTCGCCAGCAACAGTTTACAGTATTGTTCAGATAGTTGTTTTGCTTTTGAAACATTTCTACGGCGCCTTTCTGTGAGGAAGTCTTGACAGTTTTGACAGTGACGTCTTGGGGTCTCGATATTTTTTCAAGGAAGTCTCAGAGAAAAACAGAGTCCTGAAAGTCTTTTCAGGAACTGGAACAATTTTTAAACTGGTTTAAGTACAGTATAGAGCAATTTTCAGTTGAGTGTCAAAAATAAGTAGACAATTACTTTGGTTTTGGTTTTGGTTTTACTACAGTTTGAGGTTAACTGAGAAGTCTAATTGGTGAGTAATTGGTTTTGGTTTTGGTTTTACGACACTCAATTGAAAACCGCTCTAATTACCAACATATGTATTAAAGAGAGTCGCTTGCGTTGTGCTTTCAAGTCTTGCTAGTAACTCTGCTGTTATTGGACTACCTGAAATTTTTGTGACATGTTAATTTTGCGAATTTCGCGATATAGAAAAAAATGCGAAATTAAAGTTACGCAAATAAGTAAGTGTCGGGAACATAACACATTATGTTACTGTTGACCTATAGTCCCGCCATTGTGTTTTTGTTACTTTTGATGTTATTGTACCTTTGATAAAGTCAGTTTTAATACTAAATTCAAAGACATGTCTAAGTAACATTGCCAAGGAAACAAATTTTGTGTTAAAGTGATTCAATATACAAATTTTTGCAAAATCGCAAATTTAAGTGTCGTGAAATATGCACACCCCCAAATCGCAAAATAAATTTGTCGTGAAAATTTCATGTAATAAGGTAGCCAACCTCAGTGCTTGGCTAGTAAAACAAAATGTTTTTGGCTAGTAGCGTCCAAGTAGTCACTAGCCACTTGGCTAGTTAGTTGAAAAGTTAGTATCGAGCCCTGTGCTTTGCCATCACTTCTTCCCTCGTTATTAAAGATGTGGTTATTGTTTGTCATGGTGTAAGATAGAAGAATCAGATGAACTTTTGTTCATTTGTCTCATGATGATGTCATGTTAAGGTGCTGATCGGAATACTACCAGTATTGCAATCGAAAAATCACAATCAATAAATCAGTATTACTCCATCGTAACACAAATGAAAAAACAGTTATCTCCATTTTCTTATCTTGTTTTTCTTTTAACTTTTTAGGCCAAATCCCTTGGTGCCAGACTTGGACTTCTCTCCAAGATCAGACCAAGTTTTCTCTCTCCTGAGGTAACATGCCCATTTCTACTTTCATCACTGATTTTCCTTGCCAGTTATTGTGGCTGGTAAAGAAAGGAAAAAATTTAACACATCATTTTTGTTTTTGTTGTTGTCAGTTACCAGCTGTTGCTGAGTTTTCTACTGGTGAAACTATGGGGCATAGTG